GCTGAAGCTCCTTGCCCAGGTACCAGCCTACCTATCTCTCTGTTCCTGCTCCCTACCAAAAGGTGTGAGGGCAAAAAGGCCCAAATGTGGATCGGTAATGGAGGCTGAGGCAAACCAGGGAACCGGGCAGCTTTGGCTGAGCTGTGCAACCCCGTGAAAGTTACCTAATGTCTCTGGGTTGTCTGTGGACCGCTGGAGGGTTGGTGGGAGGGTGGTGGGCAGGGAGGGGTGATTCATGGGCACACTGGAGTGAGAGAGGGCAGATGTACCCAGGGACTGGCACTGTCAGCGAGCGCAGCAGGGCTGCCAGCTGCCTGGTCCCCTCTCCTCCCCCTGCTCCCCCTGCGCCATATCTGTCCAGGCCCAACCTCCCCAGGGCCATAGGGCTGGCAGGCATGCAGACCAGAACCCTGGGGAGCCATGGGAGACCAGGATGCCCCCCAACACCTGTTTCCCCATCTTTAGGAAGACGTGGCTGTGGAGCAGGACTTTTCTGCCTCAGAGCTGTGGAGCGTGTTATGGCATTGTGTTGCTGTGGTGCTTCGCGTGGGCAGCGACAGGGCAGTGCTGGAGGGAGACACCCCAGGGGCAGGACATCCTGCGGCAGAGCCGGACTGGAACCTCCTCTCCCCTCAAGGTAGGAGCAGGACAGCAGGGCAGCTGCCCTGGACCCTGCTCCACATCCTGCCCTCAGACTTGCCCATGCCTGTCCCCATCAGCACCTGGTCCCTGAGGCCAGAGGGGCTCAGGGGGCTTTTCTTGAGGATAATGCTGTTGTTTTCCAGGGAGAGAGGGTTGGGCTGGCCCATGCTGTGCCCAGGTGGCAAATGCTCAGCTGAGCTGGCTGTGGAGGAACAAGAAAGGGTGTCTCTGCTGCAGGGGGACATTAACTGTGGCAGATGTGACCACCATGGGTGGAGATTGGTCTGGTCTTGGGCAAGGAAGCACAGAAGCAACCCTAGAGCAGCCTTGAGGCAGTACAGGCAGACAGAAGAGAGGAGACTTTTCAGCCGTCCCTAGCTTTGCCCCTCTGCTGCGCTGTTCCCCTGCAGGCACCCTGCTCTTCCTCAGCCTGGCCCTCTTCATCTTCACTCGCGAGTCCCACCGGTGCCTGCCTCAGCTCACCCAGTCCCACGGTGTCCTCATGATGACGCTGAAGAGGTTGCTGTCCCCTGGCTTCCTGGCATGCCTGGCACAGACGTGAGTTGTAGGGATGGCTGAAGCAGGCAGAGCTCAGCCACTGAATAGGGCTTAGACACGAGCACACAGAGGGCCGAGAAGTTACTGGCCTGGCACTTGCAGGGCACAGCTCACCTGCAGAGCCTCTCCTTAGTGCCTAGTGTGGGGAATGCTCTCTGCCTCTTGCCTTGATGTTTTTCTGATCACCTCTGTATTAAGCTCTCTTTCTCTAACAAATTAAGGCAAACAGGAGAGGATGGGGACCCTGAGCTTGTCCCAGCTGTGGTGATCCAGGCCTGCCAGCTCCTCTGCTTCCCTTTTGCCCTGGCTGTGGATGGAGACACCTTAGCATTGGTCATGGAGGCTGTGAGGGACGCCCAGATCTCTGCCCAGCTGCTGCAGGTACCCTCTTGGCCCTGTGTTTCTCTTCAACCCCATACTGTGGAGACACCTCCCCACATTGCAGCCCCTAATGCGTGGCACCACTTCACACCATGTTGGTGATTTCTGCCCACACAGGGATGTCACTTGGGTGCCATGCTGCCCTTGGAGTGGCCTGGCCAGAGCTGAGCTCTGCACCGACCTGCTGGCAGTGTTCAGCCGCTGCTTGACTTGCCATGGGTCAGGCCTCAGCCGCTCTCTGGCCCGCACGCGAGGACAGCATGCTCAGCATCGCTCTCTCCTTTCTCCTTAGGTCTGCTCTCACCATCTGCCCTTCCCGTACACCGAGCTCCCCATGAGCCTCTTGTGCCACCTCGTTGTGTCTGATGAGCAGGTCATCGACCAAATGGTGAGGACAGCCACTGCCTCGGAGCACATCATTGCCTTCTTGACGTCTGCCTTGTTTACAGACAGCCTCACGCTCACAACTGACCTCCTGTCTCTCTTGACCCACGTGGCCCGGGCCTGTCCGGAGCACCTGCCCTTTCTCCAGAGGATCCTGAGGGGCTCGG